ATTCACCTAGCTTAGAATCCTCTTCCTGGCAGTGGCAAGGGCTTGCCAAATGCCTAGGAAAAATAATACTTCATGATATCTTTCCCAAAGTATTATCTTAACTTGCACAGATCTCTGACTCGAGGTCTTCCTGATCCAGAGATAACTATGTTCTTTGTTGTCCTGAATAGCTTTTTTCCTTCTACCAAGAAGCTGCTATTGGTTGCTTTTGTGAACCCGCGATCAAAAAAGCTCCATGTTATAAGCATATATGAGGGCTGCTCTGAAAGCAGTGCTTCCTATTTTATCATGTTGTCCCATGACATCAGAGGCAGATGATGGTGGTGTGGCAGTAAAGGTTGAACCTTCCCACCAACGTTTTGTAACGTTTTGTGAGAGATGACAGAACAGGGGCAGCCTGACACAATGGTGTCTGACATAGGAATGTGTATGGAGCAAAGGTGTGGAATTGAATTCTTCCATGCTGCAAAAATGGCATCTATCATTAATGCTTGCTGAATGTTTATGATGACCAAGCAGTGGATGTCGCCACAGTTGGGGTGGAAGGTGTTTCATTTCAGCAGTGGTGACAGTGGAGTGAAAAACAAGACATGTTCCAGGTGGCCATGCAGATTTTTGAGTGCAGCATGCAGGTTCTTGTTCATTGCTGGTGGAAGTGCATAGTTAATGGTAGTGACTGTGTTAAAAAATAGTGTTTTGTAGCTGAGAACTTGCTGTACAACTTGGTGTTGTAGTTTGAATGGGAATAAATAAGAGACATTACTTTCAGAGCAATCTCGTGACAAGCCAGTTTTTTCTTCTTTTTCCAGGAGGGATTCCCAAGGTTCTTGTGGCTGAGGAGTTTACAAAGATGCCCAAGTTGACAGATTTATTCAATTATTACTGTTTCTAAAAAGATATTTCCTTGTGATTTCTCAGATTTAGCTAACAGTAACAAAGAGCTGTTGATGTTCTGTTTGCCTGGTTCTGGATGCTTTCTTTGTCTGTCTCTGAGGACTCTGAAGTTCATTCCACCTATGCGTTCTGAGGGGGCCATGCTGCATCTCCTTATGCTAGGGATACTGACTGGCTTCTTGTCAGAGCCATCTCTTGCCTGCAAGGTGAGAGAAGCCCTTGTCAATAACTGAGGCTTCTCCAGAGCTACTTCCGTGCTTAAAAGGCTTGTTCTTCCCACCAGTCAGCATGTCGAGCTGGTTTCACTAGGTCTGCACGTTTGTGAGATCTGGAGGAATTCATTTGTTTCATCGCAGTTCACCTAGCGATGGTTTCCATCCAATGATTGACACTTATCCTGGTGAAGCATTCTGTGTAGGGCTGATGTGATGTTTCAGGTGAAAGCTGACCCAGCTTATCATTGGTACTTGATTTTTATTTTTTTTTTCTTGTTGGTCACAGGAGGACTTGGGTGCCTTTTGGGTTTGCTAGCATGTTGCATCTCTATGTAGGTTTCTGGTCTTGATGCAGATTGTTAGCATTGAGGTAGTGTTATGAGTTCTGATGGCTGATTTCCTCTCCTTTTAAATGGTGCCATTTAGAGGAAGCAAGTTGTACAACCTAAATGCACCTTCAAAGTCCATACTCAAACCAGTTATGTCAGTGCTTTTCATGACATCTCATACTATATGTATCAGGGACTGACTTTACACTTTGTGCCCCTGGAGTGAATAAAGTCTCTTTGTAATCATGGGTCCAGATGCTTCAAATGGCCCTTAAGTCTGTATAAGTGAATGTCTTCTAACTTTTCTGCTAACTGCATGAAGACTGCTGCAAGGTGCTGTTGGAAAGGCATCTGGCACCAAAGGTAGATTATGTTAAGCAGTCCTCGAATTGCTGCTTGAATGAAGGATTTTTAAATGCATCCAGACAGGTGTGTACTCACTGTTTGTGAATGTGTACAGTGACTTTTCTGTTAATGGGAGAAGAAAGGTTACCTTCATGTGAATAAACTGAAGTTTTTGAAATGAGCATTCCATAGGTACTTGTAGTTATTATTCCTTCTCCGAGTCCCAGAGGAGCTTCTCAAGGACAGTCCAACGTGGACATTATAGGGGATGAAAAGTAATTGGATACTATTTGCAAATATGCAGCCTCAAGGTTTAGTCAAACTCAATTAATCCAGCCTGGTTAGTCTGTCATTGCAAAGAGCATTTAACAATTGTCCGCCTGTCCCTTCGTGCCCTCCCCTTTATGTTGTTCATCTCTTCTTTCCCTAGTATCCACTCTTATGCTTCAGTGACTTTACTGTTAGCACGATTAGCTCACTAATTTTTGGAAAAAAGTAACAGTGAAGAAGGAAATCCGTGTGCTCTAGACAGCAGAATAAGGCATGAAGAAATATGCAGTGTAGGAATAGGCAGGGCTGCACCACAGTTACTGCTCAAAAGTTTTTAATGTTGGATATTGCCATAAAAATTGTGCATCTGAAGGTTTCAATTTCTCAGTCTATAATTGTTTTGTGAGTGAAATGAGGTGAGTTTATCAAGTGAGAACTTCTGTGAATTATCCACGGGTGAAAGAGGACACTGCAAAACCTTAAGGTAAAGTTTTCACACAAGTGAACAATCAAGTAAACTCCTCTAGAAGCTGTAGAAATTGCAGTGATCCAGCCCATCTCCTCACCCACAAATTCTCCCTTCAGTTTGCAGCCGCACGTTTGATTTATTTTTGATTGGCATAACAAAGCAGGAGCCAAATGAGTTGAAAATAAAGCTACATTCTGAACTTTGATGTTTCATCACGTGCCAGGAATTCAAAAAGCTTTGCTATGTTGTTTGAGAAAGCATTCTATCATCAGCAGTAATAATAATTTGAGCAATTAAATTAAGCTATCTCCATGCATCTAAATAAACAAATAGATTGTGGTTCTGTAGAGTGTGCACGTGTGCCAAGTTTGAGACGTGGGTTGTTGTTGAAGTTGTGTTGTTTTTAACGCAGAGGCATTCTGCTTCATTTAGTATCAGCTTCTAGAGTTTGAGCCAAGTTTGGCTTGCAAGAGATGCTGGTGTCTTTGTAGAGCTTTTTCTCCAAGATCCTTTAAGGGGTTTTCATATAGATGAAGTTTTTGATATGCCTAGCATTCTTAACTGTTTTCTAGTCTGGGATATTTTAAAGAGAAGTATTAAGTTGTCATTCTGTTCTACAGTGATTTCTTTAAGCCGGTTTATCAACTGATTAACGTTACACATCACTGACCAGTAAGAATTTTCAAAAAATTTTGCACATGAGAAATGCATTGTTCAGAAGTGATGAAAAGTTCTAGGATGTTTATATATATATATATATATATATATAATACAAATATATATATATATATTTGGGACTGCTGGTGTGCTTCGTCATTGACATTGATTTTTTTTGTCACTTGTTTTTTAAAGTGGGTGAAAATTTGTATTCTGGAGTATGAGTAGAGGTAAATGTTCACTACTTTGCTTACTTGGGAGGCTGAGATTTTTGTGGTTGGGACAATTTGTTTATGACGACTTGGGGTTGACAGAGGACTACAATTGGAGCTAGTCAGGCAAAGTGTAATTCAAGTGTGAATATTCTAAATCCTTGCCTTTAGGGATAGAAAACTAGTCCAAGCTCACACTGAGCAGAAGTATGCACTTAAGCAGACTTTAGTCAGCAGACTCTTTGGAGGGACAGTGCATTTGTTACAGCTTTCCCTTAGAAGGTGACAGTGGTGAGGATTGATAGTGGTGGCATCCATCTCTCTTCACCAGTCGAGCTCAAAGTACTTGACGAAAAGGATCTGGCAAAAAGCATTGGTTCTCTTACTCCTGCTCTGCAGCTCTGGAGAAGGAGGTCAAGCTGTAACGATTTGGACAGAAATGGCTGACATATATTGCATGGGGGAATTCCTGAAGGAACCTTTTATCCTGCTGGAAAATACCAGTCCATGAGAAACAATGCTTTGCAGAAACATGTTGCGTGTGATGAAAAATTGGTTTACAGAAAAGTGGTTTTGAGAAAACTTTGGTTTTATATTTCAAAACGATTTTATTTCAGTTCGAGCATAAAATGTAATAAAGACATGGAAATATGAAATGGGCAAAATATATAATATATTTTATAGAATTTAACATATTAAATAAATCTGAAAAGATTTAGAACACAGTTTCTTTGGTTTGGGGTTTCCTAAAGGGTTGGGTCATTAGTTTGTTCTGAAGTTGCTCATAAACTTAAATATTTTGACTTATTTTCCAAAGGAAAGACATTTACAATTGTGAAATGGGCTTTAAAATAAGCAAATAACTAGTACAGCTCTGCTAAGTTCCAGTACCACGTTCACAGTTCCGCCCCTGCTTCTGCTTTGCTGTGGGAAGATAATTTATATCAGCTGTTTTTCTTGGGATACTGTGTTTTTTTAAATGCAACTTGTGAATCAAAATCAGTAGAATTGGGATACTGCTGCTCCTGTTCTATAGCACCATGATTTTCCCCACTATTGATAGCAGTGTTTAGCAGGTGGATAACAACACCAGTGATCAGAGTGCAAACTGAAGTGGAGTTAGGTGAGAAAGAGAATAAATCTTACATGAAAGGAACAGACCCAGGTCTGTCTGAGTAGATCTGTGCAGACTGCAAAGGGAGCTAGAAGTAATTTTTTAAATAGACAGAAGTGCATAGAATCAAACTGTAGGAATGCTGGTATATGTTAATGTTGCTTCTCTCCTGTTTGAGGACTGATAAAGTGGATAAGTTTTACAATAGCTGCTTTTAGTCTATATATCTTAGTCTGTGTTTTTTTCACATTGTCTCTGAATGTGAAACACTGCTTTTAGGTTCTTTGTACTTAATGGGTGCTGTCTTAGATTGGAGGGCAAACACCTGCTCACCTTTAAAAAGGTGTAATTGCTTAAAACTTCATTTGGGTGTATTATGCTCGTGTGGCTTTTCTGCAGATCAGAAAGGAAAGGAGAGAGCAGAACATACATCTTCATTGTGCCAGAATTTTTCTCCTTATCCAAACATCGCATTCTTTTTCTTTAAATTTGCAGATAAATCTGGTGTTTTAATTGTGAAGATCTTAGAAATGTTTGAGGAGTGTATGATACAAGTTGCCATCTGCCAGCAGCTGGAAGAGTCTCCTGCTATCATTTCATCCGAAGACCTTGTCATCAGTACAAGAGAACCGATAATCAAAGTCCTTTTTGCAAGAGAGACAGCAGCTCACCTGAAGAGTAGGCCACAGGATGTCATCCACATCTATCCCCCATGGTAAGTAGAGAGAGAACTGGTCAGGCTTGCTGTAGTGCTGCAGAATAAGAGTGCTGCAGGTACTGTGCTTGTCATATTTCTGTAGAAAAGAGCTTGGAGGGTGCGGAACAGAGCAGTCTTGTGGTTGCTCATCTGTCTCTGCCAGGCTGAGAGACTTTGGCAGATACCTTAAAGATAGCTGAGATAACAACTAAATGTAATGCCTCTGGTCTTGCTTGGGGCTTCAGTTTGACTTTCACTTAATATTTTTGTGTTTTGAGTGATAGAAAGGCAGGAGCAATGTCTTATCAATGATAAGGCCAATAAAGTACATACTTTCTCATTGCAAAGTAGTTCAGGAATGCTCATCTGTTGCTGTTAGTGCGGGTATAATGTTTCAGTGGACAAGTCTGTGTTAACTGTGTAGCGCTCAGCAAAGACAGTGCCAGCTCAAAATGGGGAAAAAATAAATGAGAGATTAACGCTGTTTTCTTATGAAATCAGTAAACAAGCCTTGATGGTTTCACACTGCTGCTGCTGTCAATGTCTTCAGTTCTCTAAATCTCTCTTCAGAGCAACTAGTTAACCTCTTTTTTTTTTTTTTTTTTTCTTTCCAGAACTCTCTAAAATGTTTGGTCTAGCTTTGTGGCTTTCCTACATTGGGTTAGTTTCCTGGTTTTAAGGGGTAGCACAGGGTGGTGAGATTTGTAGTAAAGTAACTAGTTGTTAGCACCTGTAGGTGGGAAGGTCTGAGTGTTTAATGAAAAAAACATCAATAAAACTGGTAAGTGGGGATATTACTTCTCTCTCTTTCTCACACAAATTACTAAATAGGAGATACTTTTTTTCTAATGGATCAGCATTCATTATCTGAAGGTTTTTTGTTTTTTTCTCCAAAATACTTTTTCCTATTTTGCAAAGGCCCATATTTATTATTATTATTTTTTAAGATCTTAAAGCTATCTTAAGATAGCTACAAATCTTTTCTGGATTCCCTAACTTGTAATTTCTCACTTGTTGAAAGAGATCTAGAAATTAAAGGAATATATATAATGTGGAATTCATTGCGGCTACAGATGCAAGTGCTGATAGGTGAGATGTAAATAGGTCAGTAGCCAGAGGAATACAGCTGAATAGAAATAAAATCCTGCTCTGATGTGTCACTGGTTTGTTTTGTTTTTTTGTTTTTTTTTTTTTTCCCCTTCCAGTCCTCAAGATGCAATTATTTGGTCTAATTTCCCTTTTCTTTGGTGCTTCATTACATACTTTAAACTTGTTTTTGTTTCCTCCTACTTTATGTCTCTCCCCTACTGATTTCTACCTTAGTTACATTTTTCTCTTCAGGTTGTTTCTATACCACAAGACACTGCCACAAAGCTGTATCTTTTTATGGAGATCTTGAACCTAAGAAAGATTTCAGTAACAGCAAAGCTATTTTAGCTAGGATGTGAGTGAAGTTGTTTTTTCTTTTACTGAACAGTTGCTATTGGTAAATGTGCCATGTGTAAGTCTTGGGTTACTCTAGGTTATTCCTTGTGTGCTTGGGGAAGATGCAACTCTGCATTGATAAAATCCTTTACAGACAACAAGCATCTGTTACGGTACAAGTGCAGTACTCTCATCCGTTTGAAAAATGTTCTCAGGTGAACACAGACATAACAACTCATTCCTGTATATATGCAAAGAGTATAAAGTGAGATTTCATGGGAAAACTTCATTGTTATACTGCTTCTTGGAGTGTTTTTCTGTTTGTTTGTTGGTTTTCTTAGTAGGATGTGCTTTTAACGTAAGCCAAGGGTTATTTCGTAAAAGCAGAAAGTTTTGGCTGAGTCTCCAGAGTTGCTTTCCGGGCTCTGAAGGCACTTTTTTACTAATTGGATAGGAACAAAATTTCATGGTATCTCATCTTTAGTCCTATTTTCTATTGTTTAGGCATTATCTGAATGTCAGTTGTCTCTATTCACTCAAAGAGAAGTGAAAATAACTTGGGCTGGATGACATTAAACTAAACCTATTGGCAGGAGATGTGGGGGATATTTTTGTTTTTGATTATTATTTGGCACTTCTAGTTTACATTACTGGGAAATTGGACTCGTACACACAGTGGAAGTTTCATCTATTACATTTCCAAGTTTCTATTCTGTTGAACTCTTGAGAGCTTTTAACACTGAAACGTAGTTTCTGTTACTTTGTACTGAATTTGTACTTCCATTGCCAAAACCAAATACTGCTTGATAGAATGCTCTCCTGGAGTATAGCATTTTGTGATGTTTTCAATTGTATACACCATAACTATGTTGTTATACGTATGTAATTCCATGCTTTCAAATTACGTTCTTGAGTAGATAGGTAAGATAGCAGATGCATGGACTGCTGGCTTTGATATGTGGCTGCATTTCTGAGCAAAACTTGAATGCATCATTTTAGAGCCTTTTCAGTATTAGACTTGGCTTTTTTAATTGTGTATGCTGGGAACTTAGTGCACAGCTTGGTATGTGAGATGTCTCAGACAGGAGACTTGCATAAGTACTTTGGGAGATGGTGTTTACATATTTGTTGACATGATTGTTGGTATTTGATTGCATACAGAATCTCATAATACCTAAGCACCAGAATGCAAGCCAATTAATTAAAAAAAAATTAAAATACAGGCAGATAGCCAGCCAGTTGTAAGTATCTTATCAACTTGGACATTCCCCGTGAGTGGCCCTACTGACTTCAGGGGGGTTTATTTAAGAGTCTGTAGGATTGAGTTTGGATTTCTCTATAACTGGACATGGATATCTTGGATATATCATGGATATACTTCATATCAATGCCTTCTATCTTAGGGCACATAATACACTGGTCACTTGCTATAGGGAAAACTCTATTAAGCTGATTAACATTTTAAAACCAGTTTATCTGGTGGAACAAAGAATTCAGCTACCTGTTCTCTGAGCTGTCTGATGTGAGCCTGCTCTCATTTGAGGCTGTATTGAGGTATTATTTCAATAGTGTATTGAAATAAAGCTTATTAAGTTGGATGCATCATGTGCAAGCATGTTGCACGTTTGTGACTGGAGGTGGTTTGTGCTTGGCCAGCTAGGAATACAACAGACAAGAAGTCAGCCCTGCCTATGCAGGTTTGCCATTGATTGTCATCGCAGTGCCTGAGCAACTTTTTGAATTAAGAATTTGAATGATACTTCATAATTTTTACAAACTTGTTCTGAATCGTTAAGTGTTTCTAGCAGCTGGAAAAGAAAAAGCTGCTGAGTATATGTGCCTTGGTTGCTAAGCCTTTATTCGTTTCACAGAAATGTGTATTTATCAAAAAGTGGTGACTGCTTGACATTTCCAGGACATTTAAGAGTAGGAAGAAAGGCCTCTAAGTTCCACTGGAGATGATTTTACAATTTACCTAGGACTTTTTGTTATTGTTTTTTGTTAAAAAAAAAAAAAAAAAAAAAAAAAAAAATACAAATTAATGTACCTAAAGAAAATGATATGGAGACATGAGTGTCCATTTTTCAGACAGTAGATCTGGAGCGTAGTTCCTTTCAGCCATTCCAGCCTCCTGCTTAATGCTACACCTGCTGTCAAGTATTCAACATAAATTGACCAGAAGAAAATAGTGCAAATTCTTTTCCGTATTAAATTTAACAACTTTGAAAAGTTTTGTGTGTATTTCTGAAGTGAAACTATTGAAGGGATGTTGATATTCATACAGTCATTGAAAATAACAAAGAGTGATTTGGATAGGCTCAGGGATCCATCCATCCAACTAAACAATGATCTCTAGCTCAGGAGATTCACTTGTTGCTGATATCTGGATGGCTGGGACAGTAAGAGGAGGAAAGTACCTCTTTGTGCTATTCTATTGTCTGCAAACACTGACCATTAAGAACTGCAGGAGACAGGATTCGTGGCTGCATAGCTGCTGTTCTCTGTAAAAATTCTCTGTTTAAAAACAATTTATTTTAGGAACTCAGTATGGGAAGTATATAAAATGCTTAATGCAATGACATCGGCAAGTAACTTGAAAGTTATACTTGTTTCTCTTAACCTATGAAACCATGGGGATTCGTAATTACTCAGATTTGAAAGTGTTCCAGTGCCTGGTGAAAGTGTTTAATGTGAACTTCTCATCTCTACTTGTGTTACACTACACTCAGGATCTCCTCAATGAAAAAGCTTTTGAAGAGTTCAAATTGTTATACATTTACTGTCAAGAAGAGCTCACACAAACCATCGTTACAAATCAGCTAATGTAAAGTAATGAAACCTATAATGAGAGTTCTTTAAGGTGGGCCATTGATATAAATGACTTCTAAGCAAGCTCTGAACAAGTTTATGTATGGAAACAATCTAGCTTTGTGAACTTAAGCATTCTACTGCTTCAAAATTATCCTGGGTATGATGTAAGCTGTTTCATTGGCTTAACTGCAAGACCTAACATAAATGGTATATTTCTGTGATTTTAGCATTGTCTTAATACAATATCTTGCCTATTGCATGATCTTAACTTTGTCTTGATGAGCAGTAAGAGTGAGCTAAAATTCAGGGAACTAAAATAGGTATTTTCAACCAGTGTAACTGGTGTTAAAAAGTGTTTGCCCTCCATTTGATGAAAACGCAGACTTTTTATTACTGCTGCTCTCACTGGTTAAGGGAAGCATTCGGGAATGCTGTTAGAGAGTAACTCTCTACCACAGAATCATGTGGAAGGAAGGTCCTGGACTTTGTGTGTTAGAGAAATGCAGAAATGACCAACTGCTGTTCTACAAGAAGTCTATATCCTTTCCTTGTTCCACAAAAGTAGTAATGTAAACATGAGTTAGACATACAGAAATAACATCTTTTGCATAAACTCTATTGCCCTACTTGCTCCCCAGGGAGACAGCTTCTCTGAATGCTCGGTTGATCATTTAGACAAAAGTGATGTATGTTCACTGTCTTCTTTTGAAATCTAAGCATTTTTAAATAGATATCTGTACATGCAAACACTTATACATATAAATATTCAAACAGATGAAAAA